GTGGGGGTTGTGTGTTTTGTTTGTGGGTTGGTTTATTATTAGTAGTAGTATTTTAATTTTTTTGTATGGTAGCATAGTTCATACTGTCAGCATTGGTATCTTTTGTGTCCTCTGAACACTTCTTGATAACCTTGGTGTACAGTGGCTAATGTCAACCATACTTTACAGAATGAAGGAAATCTTGGGAGATATCTAAGGACAGCATTTCTGTGAAACTAGGCAGTTAGATGGAGAAGAGAAACCATGAGTATGTCCCAACTAATAGAAGGGAGGGGTGTGAGCTCCTGTTGTGCAGAGAAGTTGCACTGGAAAAAGATGTGGACACCTGTGGGGAAAAGCTCCCAGACTTGAATTTTCTTACAGACAAAACTCAGCTTTGAGATTCAGGCTATGGGAGACTGTGCTGTTGTAGAACTGGTTGGTTTTACTTGAAATGTGTGTGTGTGTGTCTTTAGGAAACACTGTTCTACTATAGATGTAATTGTTATCGCTGCTTTTGAAACACACCTGTGAGTTACAGACCTGCGTTGTGCAACACTTAAAAATCAGTAACTTGCACTAAGCTTTAAAGTGGAGGGGAAAAAAGGTCATGTTAATAGTTACTGTTGGTCTTTGTAACTTTGTAAAAGCCTCATTCTTTCAACTTTTGTTTTCCAGATCCTTCACAGAGTGAGGTTATGGGAGAACCGCACATGATGATGGAGTATAAGCTTGGTTTATTGTAACAAAATGTACTCCACAAAAATGTTTTGTGTGTGTCTCTATACTGCAAATCTAAATACATGATACCCTAAACACACTGATGCTCACAATGTTAAGTAGTCCTACAGTTATTATTTGCCTTCCTTGATGAAAAGGCACATTAAATGTTTAAAGTCTACAAACTGTTCTGTGCTTGCTGTCACTTATATAAGTGTCCTGTAATTAGGTAGTTTAAATAATATGTTTTCATACACTGCTCAGGACAATAGCTTCTTAACTATGGAAATGCTATATATGCATACAAGAAATTCAAAAATACCCATGCATTTTAAAACTGATTACCATAGGTAAATGCATTTAACAGATCTTCTTGCAGAAGAACTTTGTAAGGAGGAGAAGGTGTTTTCCATTGAGTTAACTCTTTGTTCATGACAATTTCCATACACTTTTTAAGCTATTGAATAAAAGTTTGCTATAAATACTTTTGTGTTCCAAAAGACATTTCATCATAAGTCCTGCTATGTGCGCTTTATCCCTTCCCTGTTGACAATTTTGCGTGCCTGAGCCATTAAGTTTTTGTGTGGAACTGGAAGTTACCACTATAAAAAGGGAGTTAAAGGTCTGGATTTTTTTTATATCTGTGTCCCTGAGGATGTTCTGGTTTCTGAAAGTAGAAGCAAGCGCTGCTTGGAGTTTAAAGAACGTGCTTTAAAGTGCATTTGGGAATTGAATACCAAAGAGCACTCTTAGACATGGTATTTTAGTATTTGGAGGTTAAGGAAGAGCACAGGGCCTAATTATGACAGTACCTAATAAAGCTGCTACAGTGAGAAAATGAAGATGCGGTGGTAGTAGATGACAGATACAGAAACAACTTTTTTTTGTGGGTTTACCAAAATTGGATCTTAAGTAAGAGACAATGAGACCTGTACTTAAATACAGCTTTTAAAGGAGCAGGCCACTGAAAGGGGTTTGTGTGCTTAAGTTGAAGGGGTCATGTGTAATTATATTTGGGATTGTAACCACTTTCCTGATGTCATACAGGTGTATATGTCAAATCCTGCGAGGCAGCTAATGTGATGTGGCGTATCAGGAGTCAAAAAAAGTCTGGTTCAAAAGATGTCATCTCTTGTCATATGTGGGGAGCTTTAAACAATATTTGTAAGACAGGAACTGTCTGTTCAGCAGGCTTTAATGACTTGGTTAAACTGCCAAGTGCACTTAGTGTTCTGTTGCAGGTAATTTTAGCAGAAATGTTGCTATAAACCTCTTTTCGCAATCCCAAACATCTCGTGCATAAAGCTGCCACAAATTCCCTATCCTTGTGGGCCAAAACCTCTCATTTTTGTCCTGTAAATTTTACAATGCTTTCATGTTCACCTGTTGCCAAACATTGCAGCAAATTAAAAACACTGAGATGACACAGTATTAGACACGTTAACCAGTGGTTTTATATTTAGACTTGTTTCATGTAAGAAGTGAAGCTTCTAAAATTATTTCACTTGAGAGTTGCAGAAATTAGAGGCTTGTGCTATGAAATACAAGTTACTTCATTTGTGTTTTTTGAGCTATTGAGGTTAAATATAGGACTAATACATTGAATGTGCAAGCATGGAACTACTGGCTATGGTATTTTATAATTGACAAGTTTCTTGGCAGTTTTGTATAAAGCAAAAGTAAACTCTTACAAAGCAAGTTTGAGGTTCAGTAGGCTTTGTGTTGCTATAGGCTCACAGAAAAGCTGAGGGATTACCTTGCTGCCTCTGGGGTAATATAAGGTATGGGCATGTATTTTAGGATGATTTTTAGGTCTGCCTTGCTGTCAGCACTGTTACAGCTGATACAGAAAACAGGAAGCCATCCCAAAATTGTACAGAGTTACTGGTACCTTGTAGCTCCCTGCTTCAGTGTCTAGCTAACTGGCCTTTCCAGGTGTTGGTTAAAAGATTAATAGAATCATAGAATAGTTAGGGTTGGAAAGGACCTTAAGATCGTCAAGTTCCATGGGCAGGGACACCTCGCTCTAAACCATATCACCCAAGGCCTCGTCTAACCTGGCCTTGAACACTGCCAGGGATGGAGCACTCACAGCTTCCCTGGGCAACCTATTCTAGTGCCTCACCACCCTAACAGGAAAGAATTTCCTCCTTATATCCAATCTAAACTTCCCCTAAGTTTTAACCCATTACCCCTTGTCCTATCACCGCAGTTCCTAATGAAGAGTCCATCCCCAGCATCCCTATATGCCCCCTTCAGATACTGAAAGGCAGCTATGAGGTCTCCACACAGCCTTCTCTTCTCCAGGCTGAACAGCCCCAACTTTCTCAGTTTCTCACAGAATATGAGGTTGGATGTAATTTCTAGGTAGTTTTATTTATTATAATCTTGGGTGAGATCAAGCCAAATTCAGAGCAAGGAGGTTATGTTGTCCATTATAGCTGCAAGGAAGCTGATTTTAGGGATAAGCCAGGCTGGAAAGCAAATTGTATGTCTAAGAGACATCCAAGAGCAAAGGGCATGTGAGGGAAGCACTTGCAGATCCACTGGCCATGCATATGCAACACAAGCCTCCATGCTGACTTCTTGCACAAGCCGTGCTCTCCCTGCTCTGCAAATCCCCACCTCTTTTTGGTGCTGGTGTTTTGGAAAGTATCCTTCCTTCAAAGTGCAGGAGGAAGGCAGAAGCACATCTTCCTGCACTGCTGTTACGATCCTAGAATGCCAGGTTGGAAAGGACCTCAACGATCATCTGCTTCAACCTTTCTAGGCAAAGCATGACCTAGACTAAATGTCCCAGCACCCTGCCCAGCTTTATCTTAAAAGCATCCAATGTTGGGGAATCCAACACTTCTCCAGGGAGGTTATTTCAATGGCTGAGTGCTCTCATTGTGGAAAGTTTTCCTACATGGTACCATGGTGCCATACTTCTGTTTATGTAAACATTCCTCCACCAGCCATCCCCTTGGCTTTTGTCAAAAACTAAGCAAGAACTACAAATACAACAAAAGTGTTAGAAAAACAAATTTATTAATGTCAAAATAATTTGCATTTATATACAAATAGAACAACTATTATCAACTTGGAAGATTTTAATAATCTGAAGTGCATTAGTACCTGGTTTCTTCAGCTTGCACCGTGCTAGGTGCTTTAACAACACAGTTCATGTCCTTCATGTGTTTTGATCTAAACTTACAGCTAGTTTTTAATACTGCACGTACCAGAAATGCTTTGCAAATAGCGAGTACTTTGTACAGCAAAATCAAACCATAATAAAGCCATTCCTGAAGTGTATGTGCTTGTTCTCATTTGCACCAATACAGTGCCACTGCAGAAATGGTGTGCTTTGTTGCCACTTTCTGAATGCTAGCAGAGGTGTGCACTGCAGCAGAGGAAGTGAAGGCACACACCCCTACTTCATTAGCTTTACTTTTTCAGGCAGTTTTGTGTGAAATAGTTAATTTCATAAAGCCTTACAGAACTGCATAATGAAGAGGCAAGAAAGACAATGTAATCTTTGTGCTGAAATCCCACGCTAGTGTTCTCTTGATCTCTCAACAAGTACTCATTATATTTTGGACCCACTGATTATTGTAAAACTCAGCTCGCTTCTCCAACAAGTTAGTAGCAACTTGTGCAGCTCAAGGGAGGAGAAATAAGTAGTTTTATTTACTGGCTAATGTCTAAACTTTAATTGCCAACATCAGCCTTGGTAGTTCAAAAAGTGCAAGAGTTTGCTATAGCTGTTAGCTGTGTAAATATTCATTCCCCTCCCCTGGATAAACAGCACTGTTTTCATCAGTGACAGGGAGGCAGTCTCCTGCATTGTATGGAATCGTAGAATAGTTACGATTGGAAAGGACCTTAAGATCGTCTAGTTCCAACCCTCCTGCCCATTTAAACCCTCTTTACCTTACTGAGCTGCTCCATGATCACAATACATAGCTTGGAAAAAGTTGCTAGCATTCAAACAAACAGGATGTACAATAGGATCATCATGAGGTGGTACTGGTATTTTTTTGTGAAGTACCACGGAGAAGTTCTGCAGATGTACTCTGTTCATATGATGGCTATTAATGGCTGTAAGCAGATCATTGATTATACAGCATATGTGTAGTCTGTTCACACACCATAGTTGCTTTCCGAGAGTTTTCCTTGTGTGAATGTCAACCACTTTACATCATTTTGACTTCTCTACCTAATCTGTTTTGGGGGATGAGAGTCTTACACAACCCACTTGTGCTTTCAGGGATTGGAGCAGTATTGGCTGTCAAACTGTCACATTAAAAAACACATGGAAGTGGTCCTTAAGATGGTGTTTTATTTACACTTCTGCTGTATGTTCCAGAAGCTAATACTCTGGATAATTTCTACTTAAAGATCTCAAGCAAAAAGGTGAAGAGTCAATGCAGAAACCAATTCCTAGGTTTGGCAGCCTTACCAGTTTGCAGTGTGGCCTCAGGCAAGTCACTTGTCCTCTCTTAATTTCTCTTTCTCTGTAACAGGGAGGATAATATCTATTGTGGAAGGAGATTCTTAATAGCATTTATAAAGTTCTTTGAAGGTGAAACGCTGTTAAGTGCTCATAAATTACGCTGCATTCATTGCAAGATGATTAGATGTATGATTCAGATTTGGTCACCTCATTTCAGGGTTGGTAAAAAAATAAAGACCTACTGCAAAGAAATGCTATTACACCTTTTCAGTAGAAGAAACATTTAAGCCAAGTGGAGCCAATTAACTAGAAAACAAGAAGTATCTATGGGACAAAAAATAGGTCTCTGTATCCAGACCTTAATAAATAGAAAACTATAAAAATAAATGTGCAATATGGCCTCTGCAAATTGTAGGCATGGGCCTAACTTCACACTTTGCAAGCTGGAAATAAGTATGACATGTCTGTGTGAAAATCCATTTTAAGAACTAAGTCACAGGCAAGGTCCCCACATCCTACATTAAACTTGCACAGACACTCTGCTAACTGCAGAGCAGTGAGTCTACATACAGCAGGTGCAAGTACTGCCTCCAGCTGGGTTGCTTTCTAAAAAAAATGCTGTTTAGTTGAGTCATTTTAGATAGGTTTGGGGCCTTCACCATTAAAACAGGCCTATTAGGATGTACACAGTGGACCACATCCTCAGCTGGCATGACCTCCGCTGGCAGCGGCAGAATTGCCATCCCCTTATGAATTTTCCACAGAATCAACCAGGTTGGAAAAGACCTTTAAAATCATCAAGTCCAACCTTTACCCCAGGAATGCCATATCATTAGGGGCCTCATTTGCCTGTTTTTTGAGCACTTCCAGGGACAGTGATTCCACCATATTCTTGGGCAGCCTGTTCCATACCTGATCACTTTCTTAGTGAAGAAATTTTTCCTGATATCCAATCTAAACTTCCTCTGGCACAGCTTGAGGCTGTTAGCTCTTGTCCTGTCACTTGTTGCCTGGGAAAAGAGATCACCAATCTCCTCTCTCCATCCTTACTTTCATGTAGTTGTAGGGAGTTGATAAGCTTATCTCTGTCACCCCACTTAAAATAATACAAGATGTATCACAATCCACAGCTGACATTCTCAAACTTGAGAAAGTGTAAGTGCAAAGAGTATCATCCTACCTTATTTTTTTTTTTTAATTCAAGTTGAAAGCAGCATTAAAATCTCCATTGCCAGCCTATTTGCCTAGTTAAGTGTAAGAGCTAGCTTTATGAAAGTGCTAAAAAGAGACTGGATATAGAGTGCTACCTATTTAGTGCTTGTTGCTGCAGGGCCACTTTGAGATTGCATCTGCAACTGTTATGTTCTCTCTGTGGTCTCTGAACGACATAATGGTCTCTACCACTGCATGTCAGATTAGAAAACGCAAGTAGATGAATCCTTTGTTCAACTATCAATGCTTTCTATGCTGGATACTTCTTCAGATACAAGCAGAGCCAAGTCCTCTTCATTCCAGCTTGTGCACAGAAGCCAGCTGTAAGACACAGATAAGACATGTATCTTTAGCTGAGATAGTTAAAGGTAGCATGCTGATTCAGCACCAGCAAATACGCTTGATAGCTCTGTTATGGCCATCTTCTGTGGCACAAAGCTTTTGAGGTATCCTAGTAAGCAAAAGCAATGACAGTGCTTGCCCCTATTACACCAGTTAGACAATATCATTACTGCTATCTTTGATAAGCACTAAATGACTGATTTATTAGACTGGAACAACTACTCTTTCTGGTCTCAAACAGTAACATTGCACTACAGTATCGAAAGAAAGATTTTAGAGAAAGGTTACTGAAAGCGTAGAATATCTGAAACATTAATGGCAGAAAGAAATGAAAAATAAAGAATTCATAGTGATGTTGGATGCAGTCCTGATTGCAGGATGGACTAACTGATGGTAAATACCTGTTACATTCTGCACAGAAGAGAGTGCTTTCTTAATCTGCTCTACCATACAGCACTCAACTAAACCCTTTGTTAATATAACTGAAATCCTCATTTTTTTTACTATTCTACTGAAAATTATTCTCCACACACACAAGAATCCCTTGGGTCTGTGACCCATCACTACCTCAGTCTTAAGTTACCATTAGTACAACTTAGAATCATAGAATGGTTTAGGTTGGAAAAGACCTTTAAATGGAGTGGCCCAAAACTGAACATGGGATTCAAGGTACAGCCTCGCGAGTGCTGAGTACAGGGGTACCATCACTTCCCTGGGCCTGCTGGCCACACTATTTCTGATACAAGCCAGGGCACTCCTGGCCTTCCTGGCCACCATGGGTACACTGACAGCTTCTCTGAATAGACTGTGTAAAACAATGTAGTGAGACAGGCCCAGACTTGAAATTATGTGAAATGTTCTAAATCTACAGCATTATCATTGCCTATTTAAAATTTAAAATGCAGCTGATGTAAAGATAAAGGTGACTGAGGTAAAGCCTAAACATTAGGAAAAAAGATGAAAGCAAGGGTATTACCCTCTCAAGAAAACCAGCTTTCCTTTCCTGACTATAAAACTATCTAATGAAAAGTGATCCTCCTGTCATTTAGATCTATGTTCTGGCATGTCTGAAAAGACATAATTTATATTGGATATAATTTAAAGTGACCTTCACTATTGTGAATCCTCATGAATAATGATATTTCACTGTCAGTATTACTCGATGGTCATTAGATAGGACTAGATGCAAAAACTAGAGGCATGTTTTTTAAACATGTCTAGAGGTTTATTCATATGAGCCCTTACATTAAAACAGATCTTTTACAGATTTTAACATCACTGGGTCACAAGGTACCCATAACCAAGGATCAGGACAGATAGCTTTCCATTAAATTCACTGCATTATTGGTGATGTTTATAACTCTCATTAACACCTAGAATAGCTCAGATTGCAAAATTAAACTCATGCCTTTCAAGTGATCTGTTATCTTTGTTCTCCATGAAAGACCATGTAAAGACCTCAAACCAAGGGACACATACAACATGCAATCAAGGGCACAGTGCAGTACTAGTAGTACATTCAGGGTAGATTTCTGTTTGGGGGAATTAGGTTGCAAGTACACAACATCGTAGATGGATCAGGGCCAGAATGGAACTGGTGATGGGAAATCTCCAGCAGAGGTGTAGGGGTGTAGGTGTTGAAAGAAAAAGAGTGAAACTGGAGCATATTAGCAAATACTGAAGTTTGAGAACTGCTGCACTAAATCATTCAGCTTCAACACATGTCAAAATAGAAATTACTGTCAAAAGCAGTCAGAAGCACCCTCTTGATCCATACTTACCATAAGGCAGCCAGTGGAATTAGACAAAGGCCTGCTGACAGAAGGAAGCTAAAGCCTGAAAACCATGCAACAGTAGCTGCATAGAGAATATTAAAAACTGAAAGTGCAATAGTGCCGACCACAACTTCTAAACAGGCAATACAAGCAAACACAGCACCTGCCAAAAACAAATGGACGAATTACAAACAAAACAATATAAAGCCAAACCCCCTTCAAAGTACTGAAGTTTCAAAACTTATTTGAAAGATCTAGCTACAGTATTTTAGCTGGTATGCAAGTATCAAGCACCCAAGTATCACATGTCTTCACTATCTTCTGTGGGGACTCCTATAAAGGACTTGCAACCAAGCAAACAAAAAAACTCCAAAACCCCAAAAAAAACTTCCCTGATCAAAACAATTTTTCTTTGCTACAATTATGTCAGCTTACTTACTCTCTTGAATCTGTTTATTACATGAAGTTTAAACTGCTTAGCTCAGCTAACCATGTTCTACATATCTAATCCCTTATTTTTTCCCATTCTCCTCTCAATTTTCACTCTTTCCTGTTTCTTCCTTCTCTAATCTTTACTCTTACATGTGGAAAAGGCTCTGATGCAACAAAGACTGCTAGTTCAGCACATAACCATCTCCACAGTTTTGGAAAGAAAGAAACAACATTTTTTTGCACTGAACTAACCATTGGAGTGGCAGCCTATCCCATCAGTGTCTTCTCAAAACACGTTTTCCCAAGATGCATTCATATTCATGGGACCATAAACAAAATTACAATAGGTAAGCAGAAAAAGATGACCAGAGGCAACCTGATTCCTGCATCAAACTACTCAAAGTAGCTAAAGCCCTGAAGAATGCCAAGAAATTGCAAAACCAGAGGTGTATGTTAGCATAGTTAAGTACAAAGAGATCTTTGTTTTAGTGTGTAAAGATATGTCTTTTAAAAAATAAAGCCAAACAAATTAGAAGAATGCTTCTAGAAAGTTTATGCTCCTCAAAAGTGAAATACGGTATCCTAGAGCCACACTTTGAGGCCTAACATGCTTTTTTTCTGCGTTTCATAAGGAAATGACTTTGATAAGTAATATGTTACATCTTTTAGGGCATGTGAAGGCACCAGTGAAGCCAAGTACATAGCTCAGGATCCAGATCTAACTGTTTTCAAGTGCTTTGAAGGTTGACCACCTACTGCTTACCTTTCTAAACTGTTAAGTGTGACATTGACTGAATAACAGAAATATCTCCCCCCTCTGCATGCCAAATCTTGTGAATATAAAAGCACTTGTAAAATCACACCAGTATAAATCTTGAGCACTCCTCTGCTTCAGGTTCCTCATGGTCTTTATTTTTAAAGCAGTATCTCCTTTGAAGGTTGAAACTTGAGTAATTTAAAAACATGTTGTTTATATTAAATCCAGGACCAAAAACCATGAATATCATGACACAGGGTCATATTATAGGGAACTTGAAAGAAAAGCAGTCTTAAAATGCCAATACATATCTGTTTGTTTAAAGGTAATCTTGATGCATCTCTGTTCTGAAATATTGTTTAAAACCAAATTCTACTCACCCTGTTCACCAGTGAGAACCACTTTTGACAGCATGGCTCGGAGAACAGGAATAGGCATAAAGCAGAGCAAAGATGGTACTCTTACTGTAAGACAATGAATCAGTCATAAGGTATTGAAGTAAAAACCCCTATGGTATTTTACCAATACACTGCAAATGAATGTCATATACTTCTGAATGCTCAGTTCCCCATACAGTAAAAGGCAATAGAAAAGTCAAAGTGCACTGAGACACGATTATCCAAGTGCAGAGAAATCAATAAATATAATATATCCGTATGAACTTAAACCAAATCATATGCAAGTAATTCCATTCTCTCTCCACGCATTTAATATTTTAATTATATCCTAAATCAGTCTGCCCAACCTTGTATATTTTACCTCTCTATGACCCTTTCAAGATGGGAAGTCCAATATCTACCAATTGCACTCACTACAGATAACATAGCAGTATTTTAATGTATGTTGTTGACCATGAAATAACTGATTCCAAACTCACCTAAAAACATGAGCAGGGTAGTTCTGGCAAAGGCAGCCATGACCATTCCTCCAATGTAAGAAAATATCCCGATAAAGACAATATAAATGTCTTTGAGACATTTAGAAAATAAGTAAACACCAAGAAAACTAGTCAGAGAGATAGAAGTGGAGGCAGCTGCTCCATATCCAATGTATACTTCATCCCAGCAGAGCGGCTCATCTAGTTCATACAGTGTAAAAAGTGCACTCCCACCGGTCGCAGTAAACAAGTACATCATAAATGTAAAAAGCAACACAATTATTAAAATTCTCTTCTTATAAGGGGCAGTTTTAAAAAGCATGTACACTCCAGAAAATGTCTCTTTAAGAAGTTCTTTACAGGATCCTGGTGCCTCACGCTGGAATTCAGATACATCTACTGTTTCTTCCAGAAAAAATATGATATAGATAATATTAACAACATGAAGCAGAGATGCTGTCACAAATGTCCATGTAAAGCCTATTCCTCTTAGAATATAGCCAGATGACAGTCCTGCCAATCCAGACACAATTCCAAAAATCAAATCCACCACAGCTATTCGTGTTGTTTTCTGCTTCTCATCCTTACACACATCTGCTATATAAGCAAAGCCTCCTCCAAGGAAAGTTGCTATACTCCCAAACAGCCCACTAATAAATGCAACCGCAAATAGGACGGAGAGTGACAAGGAAAAATATGATATTACAGCGAGACAAGTATTAGCAACCAAAGTTCCCACTGATGGTAAAACTAATGACCTTTTGCGTCCCTGGCGATCCCCATTAGCTACAATGACAAAGGCAACTGTAAGGCTCGGAACTGCCCCAGTTAAGTCTAACAGCATATTAAAAAGAGAGACTTTTTCTTGAACTACCTGAAAAGAGAAAACAAAAATCATTGTAAATACTATAATGCATTGGAAAAAAAATCATATAATCTATAATAATATTAGATGTGCATAATGATTAGCATGCAATATAATGAATAGCCCAGTACATGTTTATAGAGTATAAATTATATTATTATAAAATAGAATACATACAATATAATTTTATAAGATTATGTGACATATTATCCTATTATAAAATACAGTACATTATGTTTATGAGAACGCATATTACAGTAATTGTTAAAACAAGGGAATTGCTTATTCAAAGACTCCTGCTTTTGTAATTTTACCTTCAATATTCCTCAAACACCCCTTGTTACATATTAAGCCAGAACTTGCTTCTTAAGATGCAGACTTTCTAATACACTTGACAGAGAAGTTTCAATGGAGGCAAGACAACAATTCTTTTGAATGTGCATTTACAAGAGCACTAACAGTGCTGGTGCTTACACAGTAAGTATCTCCTTCAGTACAAGGTATGGCAAAAGACCAACGTGTCTATTTTAATCCCTTGGAAATTGGTTGTAAAACTGATTTTGATTAGGGAACACACCCCACGCTCCCTACTCACAGGAGATCATTTTTCCTCCAAAATAATTGTACTGAAAGAGGTTACAAGAAACAATCCGCTGACTAGCTCATTGTGCAAGTAAACAGATCAGCAATTGCTCTGACATCCCAGTGTACAACATTAATAACAACACCCACAAATGTGAAACACAGCATTAAAAATTATACTGACTCACAGATACGTAAATTAAGTATTCTTTAAAACACTGGAAAGCTCTGGGTTCAGAAACTGTCCAGATCAACATTGTCTCTATAGATATGCTACAGTTGGTATTCAAATAAGGAATAGCAGCTAATACTATGACAATAAACTGTAAACATCCATTATGGGAAATTTTTTTAACAGAAGTATAAAAATCAAATGTAGCTGAAAAACGATCAGTTAATGGAGCAGGAATGGCTGCAGAAAAAAGAACTAAAGAAAAGATTACAATAATAAAAAAAAAAACCACTATCTTATTATGAAGCCAGCTCAGCAGGCCAATTCAGATATTGCTTTCAATGCATGAACGCCTGCTAAACAGACAGAGCCATGACAGCCTTCTCAGGGACAACCACCTGATCAGACAGAAGAGTAGCAGGGGAAAAGGTAGTAACTTCATTCATGCAAACGCTTTACTCTCTGTAAGATAAACTTTTAGATGCAGAGAGTGAAGTCACTCTGAAAGTTTTCCTGCAGTTTTCTGAGGTATCCCACTGACTTGGGCAGGGGTTGCACTCATCAGTCCACAGCAGGTACAGCCATGTAAGTCTTCTCAAGTCATTCTCAGCCTGTATTCAAGCTATCTACATGCCACATTTCGGGTGTTTCCTCTGCAGCAAACATAATCCTCACTGAGTAGCATTTAAAATATGAAAAAACCCTAGAATTTCCAGGAATGTATTTTGGGCAATTTTAAAAGGTGCTGAATGCTTTATATATTCCTATTTATAATTTAAGGGCAAAGACCATGGGTTTCTGGTTAAATCTCTTCCTTTGTTGACAGGATACAAGTTTTATTGCAAGACAAAAACTCAATTGATACCAGGGCCCTCAAGGAAAGCACTCAAGACCCCCAGCACTGTGGAGTCTTTTACTCTCTTCATGGTATCTGACTACCTTAGGACTTGTGATGGATTCGTCTACTGGCAAGCACTGTTGTCACCCTGAAAGTGTCAAAACTATAAAGACTGAACAAACCAAGATGGAAAATGCTATTCTGATCTTTACCTGCTCCCTTGCTGACAAGATCACTTGATGTAGCTACAGGCATTGCTTCTTTACTAGGATCATCATGTTCAAAGACATGAGTGTCAAACAAATGCTAATATATTAGAAATAAAACTAAATCTTATGTATCATCTTAACCATACAAGTATGACTGCAAAAATGAAGGAACAAAGCAGCAAAGACTCGGGTTTCATTATTTTGGAAGTAGTTGTGCAACATAAAGAACATGGCTACACACCCAGGTACCACAAATGACCATAAACTTGTTGACATAAATTTGTCTGACAAGAAGACTAAAAGACAGAAGTACAGGAAAACTCCATTTAGAGTGTAAGGCACTCAATTGTCTACTTAATTTTTTTACGAAGTCAATGGAAAGAAATATAGAAAATGATAAGTCAAAACTTCAGCTTCTTTAAAATCATGTAACTTAATAATCAGTGGAACTACATACATTTGAAGAGAAATGTCTAGGGATTTTTAATCTACAAATGCACTCTTCTTTGAAAAAAAGTTGTACTTATGGTGAACAGAAATATTTCTTAAAATCACAGATTTCAAAATGTAAAGTGTGAAAATGAATAAGGAATTTGCTTGTATAAGGATTATATTAAGAGAGAAGTGTAACGCCTAAGGCTGAACAATGTACAGGACATGATAAATTAACAGGTTCATAAAATTAAAAATGCATGGATTGGATCATAAATAAGATGGATGGCAAACAATGTTTAACAATATAGCTCTTTCTCAGCTAATAAAAGAAAATCAATACAGTTATCCAAGCCAGTGATTAAACTGCTTCAGCTTGTATTCAAATTACCTCTGAACTCATTTTATTGTAAAATGACTAATTTCCTTCATATTGTAGGAAATAATTAATCTAAATGCTGCAAAGACTATCCCTTTTGAATTATATTCTACTTTCTTGCAGGCTCCAAGTGATTTTTATCTTCATTTTCCTTTTACATTTTTACTTTGAAATAGGTGAAATTCATATAAAGCTTCTCTAGTCTCAGAACGGAAGGATTTATACAAAATCAGCTAATAAGGGAGGTGTTCTTCAAAATCTTAATGCCAAACATGGCCCGTTGGGAACACTCCTAACAGCAAAATTTATGACATCCATAAACATAAATTAGTTAGGATGGTCTTGGAAAATCCAGAACACATACTTCATATATTCTCAGGAAAGGGGTTGGGGTCGAGTTACTGAATCTACTCTTTGACCCAGGAGTCAAAGAGTCTTTTACACAGGAGTAATTACTCAGCACAGAGATGAGGTTCCACTGAAATTAATGGGATTTTGACCGGTTTATATTCTTATACTATGCAGCTAGTGTGGTATCAAAATGCAGGCAAGACATCCAGACAAGAGCATACTTGTTCAAAGGCTCATGCACTGCTGGCAACCATTGAAATAGAGGGAATCAGAATTTGGCAGGAAAGGGAAATGAAGAGGTTCTATTAGCCATTATTCAACTGCTGTCTTGAAAGAGTTGTGTTAAATACCAAGCTAATTATACTTTGGAACCTTTATCCCAAAAAACCTGCAATGTGTGAATTCACTACTATATTACACAGAGACGCTACATAAACGTCAGCCGAAATTAAGTACTCTGCTTCAGTGTTTTGCAAAAAAGAAATATGAAAGTCTCATATCCTGGACCATAAGATATATTTGAAAATCAGGTTGAATTTGGGAGGTTACTGGCAAGTGCAATGTGCAGAAATGTCTGTGAAATGTAGGTTTCTTGTTGGGCTTTGTTATTAGAACTGTATGCACCACATGTGGTTTTCTTAAAGCTACTCCTTCCGCATAACAAAATGCCCACAGACAGCACCAAAAGTGGAGCCAATACTAAAGTAAACACTTTTTGGAAGTAATGTGCAAGCATTTCTCAGATAATAATGGTTATTATCTTCAAATCAATTCCAGTGGGTGGCATATGGCTGATTGGTCAGCTGAGGAAAGCGTGCTGGACTACAATTCTAATGACCTTTTGCCTTGCACATTCTTTCACTAAGGCTGGCTTCTGTCACATAAGGAAGAACCTACTCCATGTTAAAAATCCTGAATTATTTCCTTGAACACCTTCAGCCATTAAAACCTTTTGTTTATGTATTATAAACAGGACAGATAAGCTCAGGTGCTCAGTCTTGTGCATACGTAGCACATCAGATTCAATTCTGAGATGTGAGCAAAATTTTTCAAGTGCCACCTTTTCAGCAGCATAGGGGAATGATGGTGACTGTTTCCATAACTCCATCTTCTGAGCAATTTACAGTCTGAGTCATCTACGTTTCTGACCCTACAGTGGTTTCGGGTTCCACTTAATCCAACCTAACTGCCACTTGTTGCCAAGGATGGTTTCTGTTGCACCTCTTCTGGAAATGTGTTTCCTCTGCCATTGGCCTGTTAGAAACAGCAACCATGTGGCCACACAGTTTGTCAGAGCAGAGGCTGCTTCAGAAAAAAAGCAACAATCAAAAAGCAACAAACTCAAAAAAAAAAAAAAAAAAAAAAAAAGATGAGCTTTCTGTTGGGTAAGTGCCCCAGTTAAATCCAAATCATAACCAGGAACTGCAGAACTGCAATATACAACACATGGGGGGACTAACGGGGGAAAAGGGGAAAGGAAAAAATCACATATGATCATCTTTTCTGCTGGCTGTCCATAGTTAGCTCTGCTTAAATATAGCATTAAAACTGTGCTGGAAGTGCAAGGGAGGAGATTCCAACCAACAGTTAGCTATCCAGCATGCTGAACCCTATGAAAAAGTGCTAAAAATGTAATTGACCATGCAGTGCTGGCACCTAGGTGTCTTTGCACTCACTCCAACAAGCCAGGCTAGAATTCTGAATGGTAAACCACCAACTATATTTGATTATCCAAAGATCAGTTAACTTTTTTTTTCCACATTTTAAAATTACATTTTTTTTTTTAAATTGAATCTCTCCCTTTCCTCATGCTTGTAAATCATCTGAAATAAGTATATTCTAAACTAGATCCCATTCCTGAAAATTCCAGGGCATTTGCTAAACTTTACATAGTCACAAAGAACACAGAAGTCACAAAAGACAGCCCAATGGCTCATGAACACATGCACAAGTGTTAACCGGAAGGAGGACCCCTCAGCTCTACCCACTGTAATGCCAGCCCAATGCCAGTTTGGGCCCAGACCTCTAAGATGATTTTCAGCTCCTACAAACTTATATCAGTATGTGTCTGGAGACAAATTATTGCCTTTAAAGCACTCAACTACCTACAGTGCAATACAAGAACAATGAGACAGTAGTGACAGCGGGTTACAAAACCACTGCTTTTCTATATATAAAAGGCTAAGTAATGTAATACAAAAGGAGGTGACTGAGACAGCATGTCCTGGCTGTAAGTTTGTTTACAATTGTTACTTATTTTCCCCCTCTTACCTTCTGCTTGATATAAGCCGGGCTACTTTTATTCTGCTCACAGTGACTGATACTGCTATTGCTCACAAAAGTGGAATTGTACTCTTCCTCCCAGAGCTGCCGATAGATGAACTGCTGCACCAGCGGGCTGGTCAGGGAAGAGGCAAACACATAGATGAAAATCACAGGCTCCACAAACAAAACCTTCCTCATTTCTGGGCCTGGTCTTTAATCCTGTGTATCAGAAAACAAAATACAGTTACACTCAGGACGTGGAATCACACCCGACCCGCCTGCTCGCTGCGCTGACAGCCTCTACCCGACCGGAGACCCCATCAACGAGACCCCTCCACAGCGAACCTGACTGACACCGGCACTGCCCTACCGCCCCCCTCCCTCCGCCGCCCCGCACCACACTGGCGCCGGGCGGAGGCCACGCAGTGCGGGCGGTGCGTGACACAGAGAGGCGGGACGAGGACGGCAACCGCCTCCCTCAGCGGAGGAGTGTCCCCAGTGTCCCCCGCGCCCTGTCACCGCCCCCCGCGGCCGCCGAGAGGACGAAGCCGGGTAGCCCCATCTCGCTGCGGTGCCCTTTAGCCCCGTGCGGCCTGCGGGCCGGGCGCTGCTGCGGGAGGGCCTCGGCGGGAAACCCCGGCCTGGTGGTGGCCCCGGGGCAGCCCTCACCCGAGGGGAGGAGGAGGGTGTTTGTACCCGTGCTAGGAGCCGTGGGGCTGCTGCTGGAACTCGCGCCGGCTCAGCAGTTCGGTGATGTCAGCCCCGAGCAGCGGCGTGCCAGGCACTGCTGCCGCGCAGTGTTTACCTCTCCACAAGAGTTTGTTTCAGCCACTTACGCAACGAGGCCCCTTATCTGCAGCGCCTGTGCCCTCATTTCACAGCGCGCTGGCGAGCCCGGTGCTGCCTCAGCTGCTGCCCGCTGCTCGGCTTGGCCCGGTGAGGTCAGCAGCCCGGCGCACGGGAGCAGTCAGACCAAGGGGTGGCAGCAGCCTGCCTGGGGGCCAACACGGCCCTCTCCTGGCCACGGAGGAAGCTGTGGGCTATGTCAGCTCCATGCTGCCGTGTTTGCTTGCTTTCACCTGACGTGATTTAGAGGATTTGTTGTAGATACTCCCTTTTCGTATGCTCGCCTCTCTGGGGGCTGTGTGTAAGCAACATTTGTTAGCCTCCAACTGTACTCTGGCTACTACATCTCATTTTCTCTGAGCCTGACACTGTTGTGTGTCGAGAGAAGTGTGGTAGCACTTCTTCAGGAAGCACATGCTTTGGCTCTACAGGAAAGGTCATGCTGGTGCAGATCTACAATCATACTGTTTATGGCATCTGTCCACCTTGATGGAGGGAGCACACCGTGGCACTGGAGCTGTAATGCTTTAAGGATGTATTTTGTTGTACAAACTACAGAACCCTTGTCAGCTCACTGATGGTGGCTGCTTGTTGGGTTACAGATAGTGGTTTCTCTCTGCTTTGGGGTGGGGTGCTCACAGTACCCTTGTTCTCTTTGGCGCACTGTTATCTTAAGACACTGAGTAGTGATTCTGGCCTCCTTGCAGGTGTGTTACAATAAGAGGTGACATAGTTGGAGAGTCCCAAAGGACCTCTCAGTCTTAAATACTGTTTTTTAGTTATAAATCTTGTAAAAAATTGTATTTTCTAGAAGAACATAAAAACTTAGAGGTTCCCTGATATTTATTTTTCTCTTAAAACAACAAGTGCAGTTTAATAACTTCATGAATATTCAGTTCCTTCATAAACTGATTTGAAGCCAGATTAACTGTAACATGGGTCATATGATCTTGAGTAAAGCTTTGTTTTGCTGTCATGTGACATGACATTCAGCCCCAAACTTAGGGACAACACTGGCCTGTCATGTGTCTTTTAGCATAGGATTGACCCAATGTACAAACTCAATGGCCTTGATAATTTACTCCAGATGGTGAGCTGCTTTGGTCTGGCCTGCTCACAGAGACACACAGAGAGTGATTAAAAAAAAAGCTCCACTCTGCCCTGAGGTCAGCTGTATAGTATTGTCCTCCTCCACCTATCCAGGTCCAAAGTCTGATTCACCCTGTGACAATATTTTGTCTGTCACAAGGTAAAGCAAAAGTGGTCATGTGAGTATTGCGCACACAAATGGGCTGATAGACAAGCAGGGCAGTTCAGGTCACTCAGCCAGCCGTTAACATTTATTTGGGTGTGGTAAAGAAAGGACTTTAAGCCTTCTGTTGTTCCACAGAGGGTTATGTCCAGAACCCCATTAGGTTTCCTGATAGATCCAGCTGTTCTGAAGAGCACATTGCTCGTGAACACAGGCCTCTGAGTACAGCTTAGGTTGCTGGGCAAAACTTGTTTTAGCTGATAGTGTCTTCAGAACAGCCTTCACAGTGCCAACAGAGCTCTGGCTCTGTGCTCTGGGGAGGGGGTTCCTCTGGTTCTGTCCTTCCTACTTCCAGTAACCGTGTTTAACTTTATGCTTGGGTTTGCAGACCCAAGTTGCTCCAGCAAAGTTGTGGCTTTACCAGTGCTGAAGGCAAGGCTGCAGCATGAGCTGGCCCCTCTAAGCAGCTGATTATCTTTGTCCAACAGCTTGGAGCCTGCTTATGAGTATCTTCTAGTGCTGATATGCACCCCCCCATGCAGGGGTAGACTTGGCCCACATTCTCAGTCCTCCCCTACAAGGGGAACTAAAAGCAATAGATGTGACTGAAATTTTAAGATCAGACTTAGCTGGGTGATGCTTATCCTTTGAAGCAGAGAATTTCCATGTTACAGAATACATGGCAAACTAGCTATCCCTATCACCAATATTCACATTGTCCTAAATCTGAGTTACATGCTGGTGAACAGACTTCACAAAGGTCACAGGCATGTGGTGGCTTCAGCTTTGCAGTTTGCCATATTTATTAACATCCTCAATGTGTGAAGAATTGAAGGAGTGAATGTATTCATTGTAGAGGTCAAGCTTTTGGTGAGCACTTGCTTGACTTCCAATCAAAAAAATCTTAAAACCCAAACAGATGACTGGTCTTTGAAGGTGATATGTTGCTTATGTGTCAGGACATGGGAAAAAGGAGACATAGAATGAAGTTTGAACTCTGGAACAGTAGAATGCTTTTGAGAGATCCCACCAGCCCTGGTCAAAAGGCAAAGATATTACATTACATTACCTTCAGTGATAGAAATCTTCAGAAAAAACCTCCTGCACTTCCAAGAACTATGCATGAATTATGTGGCAAGATGTTGGCATTCAGTGATTGCTTATTGCCTTCTCAGACAGTTGTTGAAAAAAAATCAATTTTAAATTTCTTATATGTGTATATAAATACAAACACCACCTCTGGAAATCATTAATACTAAAAACATTTTCTCTAGGAAATTATTTTGATGAAGAAGAAATTGGAGACATTTTGGAGATCTGGATAGTCTTATCTCAGTATTGTCATGTAAACCACAATTTTAACTGCCTACTAAGAAGTTAAGTACTTTTTAAAATTGAGGTGACTTTAATTTTCCACATTAGTAATCTACTGAGATAATGGAAATACTTAGCCCTCTACAAATTATTTGTGCATTACAGCATAACACCAGGAAGTGCCATATCTACTCAACTCATGTTTTCAAGGCTATCTTGATAACAGTGGTTAACACGAAAAAAGAAACCTGAAGAGGGAAGAGAGAAGCACACTTTCTGCAGAGAGCTGATTTTGTACAAAACGCAGTTCTTCAGAAGTCTTATATACCCAGAATCTTGCTCATGAGCGTTGCAAACAGAGATACATGAAGGAAGTTCTCCAAATGGTACTGTGGGGGAAGGGAAAAAGGGATAAACTGTGTAATTCCTTAGGGGCATGCCTGGGTATAGATGCAACTGTTTGGTTTGTTTTTATTATAGCTTAGTTGATTGCTGAAGCTTGGATGCAAACCCTGACAACAGACAGTAGTAATGAAGATTTAAATATGAGACTGAAAGAAAAACTGATTAAGGAAAATTTGTGCAACAAATCCCACCACACAGTTTTAAATGCCTTTCCTTTGTAAAAGAGGCAAGGAGAGAGTGTTAACCATCATCCAACCCAGAGGAAATCTGTGCAGGGTTCGTATCACTAATTTCCGTTCACTGCAGATTATCACTGATTTTCAGGGCCTAAAATGTCATCTCTGATCTTTGACTATGTTCACAGCTAAAGGCACCTGCCTCAGCAAGCGATGGATGACCTGCAGCCCAAGTAACTCAGAGAGGCTCACACCTTCACCTCTGTGCCCTCTGGCTGGCCCCCTCCAAGCTGCATAGCCTTTGGTCTCTACCCTCACAAGGTAACTGAAAGACACAAATAATCATAACTAGTAACATTTTTTGGGTTTGCAGTCCTAAATATTTAAAACAATGTGACTGAGTTCAGCTCGTATGGAAGAAGGTGTTTGAAAGGTATGGGCAGAGACAGCCACCAACCCAGTGTAGCTGAATACGGAGTGTTGTTTTGAATCACTATCAGCATGAGCAGAATTGCTAACTGAATTCTCCATGTCATGTGGTACTTATTACTGTTAAGTGCTGTGCTGAAAATTTATGCTTGTATGAGACCTCAGACACATTAAGGTATCAGGGTATATTTATTTTCTCTGAATTAGATAATCTTAACAGAACCAATGTTCTCACTGGCCTCTCTTGCATGCCTCATGACAGCAGCCATTTCCAAATGTATTTTTTCTTTTCAGTTATTTCCCTCTCATACACATGTATCTGCAAGTCCCCATTGCTCATTTCCAATTGTTTTAAATCTCAGATTTAGACATTTCTGTTGAATGCCCTTCATTCTGTGGCTTTTCTGCCTAGGTGATTCAGTGGAGGAGAATTTTACAGCTCCGTCCACACTGGGTTCAGGTGCAGCTTATTCAGGCAGCTGTCCAAAGCAACCAGGAGCTGTTAGACCTGCTATTCATGGCTTTCAGGATTCTTGAGGACTTGAAATTAATTTTATCAGCAGCTTAGTTCTTGGTTTTTTTTCTTCCTGTTTTGCTTTCATTTGTGTACTAGACACGATAATAGTTTTTCACTGTAGATAGGTGATGAGTCTGACTGCATTGCTTTAAGACAGAATTTCTACTGAGCTGTTTTACAACTCCAATTTAGCACCTTAGTCTCACTTTGCAAAACTGCTTTGAAACGTATCTACTGGTAATGCTGCCCTTTCTGTTGCTCTCTGTCCTCTCCCTGCAAAGCTGCATATTGGGTGGGGATGATTAACAGTGGGCTGGAGATATCCCTAGTTACCATGAGTCAGCAAAGTGCTCGTCTTTCTGGTCTATATTACACTTCACCCATTTGCAGTAGACAAAGGCAGCCTTCTGCATAGAAGAATCTTTTAATCTGAAACCTTAGGATTATTTCCTTTTTCTGATGTTTTTATTGTATGTAAACAACTCCTTAAAACAAGGAACTGAAAGTAAGCAGCTGAAGCAGAACTGGGGTGGCTGTGTTTGAGTCACATGTTGTTCTATTGCAGGAGGCTGTTAAATTTTATGTGCCCTTAAAATTTTGCTGAATAAAAGTGCTTTTCTCTCCTAGCAAGTTGGTGGACTGGCCACCTACATTCCTTTTTCAGAGAGAAGGACTTCTCATCTACC